GATTTAAACAGAATATGTTTACTTAGATACATTAATACTCAATAGAAGTCTGAAGATGACATTGTATGAAAGTTGTTGAAACTTTGAATTAGTGTGAAGGATGTCATAAAAGAAAATGTGAAAATTTTGAAGTGTTTTGAACAAGCCAGCTAAAAAGGGGGTTATTATAGTTAGTAGAGTTAGCCATGAACAAAAACTTTACTAGCACATACTTTACAACATAACTACTATAGTATACTGCAAATACTGTAACAGTTTGTTTCATTCATAAAAGTAAAAAATGACCACAGTTATTGACTATCAAAATAAACACACATATGCACCACAAACCCGTTATTTCAATTGGTTGAATTGAACATATTCAAGCTGCAGCTGAGGTGTTGGACACAAATTGTAATATTTCAATATTATGAAATTGTTTCCAATAATGTGCAGTGGTGGTACCTCTAGTTTTTACACATTAACAGTAGTATGATAAAGAAAAAACTAAATTATGATGCAGGTTTTCCCTTACGAATGCCTATCTCTTGTCAAAACTTGTATTCATCTTTCTCCTTATTTCTCCTCTGTTGCCATTTCTTTTAATATTTTCCTCCTACTTCAAAGAGCATCTTTGAACTAGTTCTTTCACTGCCTCACAAGGGCAAATAAAAGAACAAACAGTACAAATTTTCTCTAATATTAGTATTCAGAGAAAAATAAATCTCAGACACATTACAATCCCAAAACTTCTTTAATTTTCAGTGGTTTATTTTATTGCAATTCATTACCTTATCCCATTCATTCAGCAATTATTGAGAATTCATTACTCACCTATCAAACAAAACAATCACTAAGGTGACTTATTACATCAATGCCGCAGAACTTAAGGCTACATATCACCTCCACTTTTTCCACCATGAGAATGAATCAAATGTACACAATGCCACATAGATAAACTATCCCTGACAAGCTTGCCCTTCCTAACACATTGAAGCCCAAGCTTAACCTATACTTGGGCTTTCTTAATGCTTGAGAGTCCTAAGCCCGAGCAAGGGTTGGGCTCACATTTCCTTGCCTTTATGCAAATGTGCCACAGATATGTCGGTTTTAGGCAATGAGGACAGGTCTCCATTGACAGCTGTGATCTCTGAGCCTATTTGAGAATTATTTTTTTGAAATGCAAGAGGGTGATGTCATTTACTTTATGTACTAGTTTGCAGTGGTAGACTGAGTTCAGTACTGTGGCATGTATGTTGTTTTCTGTTTGAAGTTACATTCAGCATGCCACAAAATAACGACTTTTGGAAAATTATTCAGGAAAAAAGCTTTCAATGAAATATATAAAAATTCTTATTCTGAAAAATGTAAGTTGTTGTACAATTTTCTACGCAGTACTTTCGTAATATACTTATGTCAATAAAATATAAAAGTTGGCACTTTTACTAATTTTTCATTTGTTTTATATTAAGGAAAAACCAAATTTTCTAAATTATTAAGGGATTATGTATTTGATTCACCAAAATCCTTACTAATGTAACTTATAATACCTTGAAATATCCTGGGTTCTGGTGCCCAAAAAGTCACCAAGCGAGTGGGTCTCACGGCCATATTCATAGTCAACACTTATTTTTGAGGATCACTCAAGTATTTACTTATTCTCATTTTCAATTCATAGTCGTCACTTAAGTGTTCGCTTAAACATTCACTTATTCTTATAAGTGAGCTTATCTATACTGTAAGTGCACCCTAATTTTTCAACATGGTATAACATCAAAGATTTTTATGAGTTGTTGAAATTATTGAAATCTATACACAAGATCATTTACCAAAACAATATTTGAGAGATATGAAAAATCCTTTGGAAAAGCATAAGCAACAAGAATTTAAGAAGAGATATTGTTTTAATAAGGATACAATTGTAAACATTAGTGTCTCTGTTGCAATCTCACAACGCGGGTTTGAGGAATAGAGGATAACCATTACCACTAGCCTAAAAATGCTAACGGCACACAGATTTTATGCAACATCATCATTTCAGTTACGTAACATTGATTTCAATTGAAAACCACTGGGCAACTTTGCAAGTTATCCTACAAGGACCATGTTTTATACGTTATTGTACAATGATGATCACAATGAAAGTGTTTTTATTTTATTATTTTTTTCAGTTGATATGTGAAGACCTAAGTCAGTCCTCAGTTTGTAGAATAATTATAGAAATATCTGAAGTGGTATCAAGAAATATTAAAAAGTTCATTAAAAACCCTTCATATGTTGTACAAAAATCATACGTCAATAATTACACTTAATAATCATGCAAAACTGGAAAAATTCTATCAATAGCCATTATCCGCTAAGGAAATTATGCATCGAAGAAACTAACTGAAATTTATAACTTCTTTTCTGTTGATAGTCTGTAGATCAAACCAGAAGCTATTCATACTCTTAAAAGAACCGCCATAATTATAAAGAAGATTGAAACGGCCTTCTGAATCCATATCTAGTAACCAATAAAGAAATGTTGTGAAACATTGTGTAGCAAAATATTTCCTGAGTGTCACTCTCGAATAAGTATATGAATACGAAACTGTCATAAGGATTCACTATTTTAAGTAAATGCTTATTACTTAAAAGTTTACTTATCGTACAAGGGTCGACTATGAATACGGCCCTGAAAGTGTTAACTATGTTCTTCAAAGGAATTGAAATAATTGCCTGTAATAAAAGTTTCAAAATTTTCTGTTGTAAATATTTTTTCTCAACTGCAAGAATGTGAAAACATCATATGAAGACACTCTAAAAGCTGCAATTTCTTTCGCAGATGTAACAGTATGTGATTCTCGATTGTAAAGCTGCTATTAATTACCTCTTTTACTCTTTTCATAAATGGATTTTCATTTTCATGTTGTGTGCTGGGAAGTCCCAGGAAAATGTTGAAAGACTTTGCAACAAATTCAATTTCACTTAAGGGATGTTTTCATTTGAGTTTATATTTTGGGAGTTCAATTATTCAATGATTATCTCAGCAAAAACAATGAAGTGTGTACCAATTATGACAGTTATCAGTAGATTCATCCTCCATATGCAGCCATACGTACTACATTAGTGCAAGACACCTGGTTTCACTAACAGAAGTACTTCAACATGCGATTAGTGAGTTTCTTGGTGAATAGTGAAGATAGGCACTAACAAAAGAATTTCTGATAGTATCTCTTCTTATACTATTAGTTTTTGCTGAAGCTTTTACAAAAGGTTTTATAGCAACCAAATCTTGTAACTGAAGTCATGTGAAAGTATCTTTATGAGCAAGATACACAAAGACATTGTGTATCATGGTGGATCGCAACATTTCATGTCAGTGTAATCACTGTCAGATGCACAATGAATACTCTACTCTTTTCATTTTCTAATAAATAAATGAGATTTTTTCTTCCCTTCAGGTAATGGCAAAAAACCTGGGTTTCATACAGAGCAGCGAGATTTCAATAAAAGTATATTTTTTCTTGCATTGGCAGAAAAACTCATTTGATATGTGCATAAACCATCGAATTTTCGATTATTTAAACATGGGTTTATGATATATATCTTGCCCTCTTTCCTTAAAATTTATTTCTGCAAATTTTGCTTGAAAATCATCATTACACATATTTTCTTATTAAGTTTTAATAAAATTAAAATTTTCTTTGTAATGTGTTTCTATATATGAAGTTCATTGCAGCTAATATCTGATCTGTGCATGATATTTTCCACGAAAATTGCAATATTTTTTTACTATTATTTGTTTTCGAGTCCATCAAGAAAACGAGTCATGCAAGAGACTTCAGCACATCACAGTAGGGTCTTCCTTTACGAATGTGAGCATCACAGACACGGGCTGCCTTTACAGAACACGAAAAAAGAATGGGGCTTCTCTTTTCTGGAGGTGTTTTAACGCTAATTTCTAGGGGGTGGATTTTGATCTAATACTCTGCCAAAAATGATCAATAAAATGCTTTAAAAATGCCCTAAAAACAAAGAAAAACCATGCAAAAAGCATCAAAAACACTTCACATGAGCAATTCAAGCTGTTGGGTATGTTACTGATGTAACTGAGGCTTCTTCCTTTCGTTCAAATGAACCTCAGCTTTCAAACTTTTGGTTGGGACTGGTCTTAACAGAAAATCTCTGCCTTTATTCATCGCAATATTGGCCTAACTAACAATGGCACCAATAAGCATCACAGGAACTTTGGATTACATAGTACCGACAAAGGCTAACATTACAATATACGTGCTAAGAAATCTAATACGCTACTCAGGTCTTATTTTAATTTATATTTTGTAAGTTTTTACTGTATAAAGGCATACAGACTTAATGGTTTATTATTGCATCTAAATCCAGACCCTGGACATGTGACACTTCACGTTTTGAATTATTCTACCAGAAATTTAAATAATTTTTGCAAATAATGCAATTAGTTGATGTAATATTTCTTGAGTACTAAAAAGGCAATCCTTGACTGCCAGACAAACATCTATTTCTCTTGCACCTCCTGCAGATACTGATGGATAGAAAGACATGAAAAGTGTCTGAGATCACCAACAGCCAAAGGGGACCGCAGAGCAACAACAGCTGTTACGATGCAAGTTGTAGCACCAAACCACATGGTTTATAGAGGAATACACTCCAGTTTGTTAAAATTATCTTCAATATCTCACCAAATACAGAGTAACATCTTAGATGCAAAGAACAATTATATACTGTTAAAATAACATATTTTAAAGACTTTCCATTATAATACACACATGTAACAGACAACTTTGATTTAAATTAAGAGCAATATGTAAAAAAATATCAAAGAAATGATGTTTTTCAGTTATTAAAAACAAAGTACTTGAAACCTTACTCAAAATTGAATTATCTTTTGATGTTATTAGACCAATATTCGTCAGTTAATTTGCAACATTTCCCCAATAAACTATTTTATTGAAATTGCAACCCTTTGAACAAATATTTGACGAGGTAAGGAAACCACTTACCTGGCAATTTATTAATGTCGAGACTGAGCTGCCTCTTTTCATCATATGACATTGGTTTTGCATTATCTTCATCTTCAGAATCAAATGTAATTGGTGGTGGTGCCACAGCACTCTTCTTCTTCCCATTAGGACGAGGATTTGCCTTAGGCCGTTTGGGTTGTGTGTTACCACCAGGTGTTTTACCTGCACCCCGAGAAGCTTTGCCTTTAGCAGTCTTAGCAGGGGCAGGAGTTGTAGCTGCTGGCCCGGATGGAAGAGTATGTTGGGCATTCGCAGGCTTTGTAACATTGTGATGCAATTCTGATGGCATTTTCACATCACCAGCACCTAATGCTACACTTGCAATACTAGCACCCACAGTGTCATTCACTAATGCAGAACGTGCATCTTTCACACCACCAACATGTTTATCAGGCTTCTTTTTCTTCTTCTTTTCCTTTTCTTCCTTCTTCTTCTTACCTCGCTTAGATGTGCTTTCTTCCACCAACCTTCGCATTTGGTCCTGCATTGCTTTCAACTAAAAGGAAAAAACCAAAGATCAGTATTTTTATGTTAGGAACTAAATTACATTTCTTGCTTCTAACAAACGACTTACCTGTTCCTGTAATAAAGCGAGTTTTCGCACACGTTCTGCTTCTGAATCATCCGATTCTGATGAGGATTCTGAACTAGACTCTGATCCAGATGAACTGGATGATGTTTTCTCCACTCCTATAGGGCCTGAAGTCATGGGTTCATCTGGTATTTTTGCATACCTAGAGAGGGAAGAAAAGCTGTATTAGCAGAAATTAAAACATGTGTACTCATAAAAATTCAAAATAAGGAAATAGAGAAATAATTATTTGTACCAACCTCATTTCAAAAACATCCTGCAACTTTCGAGCCATTGCAACAACATCATGATCTGGAGGGTTGTACTTGTAACAATTTGTGAATATTAATCTTACATCTGCTGCAAATTCACCAGCTGTTTTATACTCTCTGTTATCCATTTTTTGCTGTGAAAATAAACACATAACACAATTGTTTAAACTGCCAGCAAATGCTGAATAGTAAACACAGTTAATGAAGATGAACATACTTTTACTGTTCCCAAATCCATTGGCTTTTTAATTATGTCATGGTAGTCGTGCAAGCCTAAGAGCTCTGCATCCACAGGTTTATAAAATGGCCACGCATATCCCTATAAAAATAGTAATTAATTTTTTCAAATATAAAAAATAATAACCATATTTATGTATTTCACATTGAAATGACAATGCTCTCATTGTCAACTTACTGAATGTTTTTTAGTAAATAATTCCTTCAATATTTCATTGCAGGCTTTTAAAGAATCATTCAGCTTATCTTTTGGTTTTCCTGCACTATGCTGAGGCTGAAATATTGGTTAATGTTAGCATAATCTCTGAGAAATGCTATAGTTATTATAACAATAGTAAATTATTGCCAATGCTATTACGAAATATAAATGGGATCTTTTAATACTTTTATACCTGAGTAATTGCTGAACCAACAAGAGGAAGTGTTGACTGATAAGGGAGGCCATCTTCTGCCTGTCGCTGGGGCTGAAACCAAATAGCAAAATAACCATCTACACTGAATTCATTATCTCGTCAAGAAAATACATTTAGCGCAGAAGTCACAAGACAAATACATTAAAGGTACATATCCAGACAGGAAAACCTATATAAAACTAGGAGCTACAACAGTACATACTTACTCTCATTATTTCTAAATTTGCAATTTTCGAAAAATTCAGAGTTCTACGAAAGTGAGACCCGCACCATTTTATTAAGCATTCTTTCTTCTATCTGTGAAAAAAATTTAGAGAAGACCAGTGGTGCAACAGAATGGCACAAACTGATCTGTATAAGTTTTCTATTTCCTTTGGTCTCAACTAGCAACTAGGATTTGCCACATACTCTTGCCAGCTGCCATCTATCGCTGCCCAAAGTACATTTTTATGAAATTTTCTTAATTTTTCGGTTTCCTAATAATAGAACGGAAATATTATTTTATGAACATTAAAGAACAGTAAAACCTTGTCCTAAATGGCAATATACTTTGAAAAATTTGGAGCTGTTTTAAAGAAAAAGGCACTTAAGCACCACTGCACATTTAAAAATTGGAGCTCTTTTTCAAAGAAAATTTTTGAGTTTGATGATTCAAAAAAATGTTGTTGTCAATTGAACTTCTGCAACTCACAAATACAATAATGTTTACAAATTGCTGGAAATGTGCATAAAAATGGTGTGAAAAATCTTTCAAAAAACGCACATTTGTGTAATTGTTGGGGGAGAGGGGGAGGGGAGGGGGGGAGAGATCCTTAAAATTAACTTTACGTCATAATAAAGAGTGCAATTAGTAAGATTCCTTTGAAAAGTTTGAAGAAAACAATCGAAGCTCTTTATGAGAAAATGACATTTGAGCGTTTCTAAAAATGCACAATTTTGAGCTACCTTTAACAGAAAATGGTCGAGGTTTTGGGAAGTGTAATGTGACATTATTTGAAGCACAATACAATAATGTGATCAAATTGCTGCTAACGTGCATATTAACGAAAGAGAAGTAAAAAAATTTGGTTTTTGTCATTTTTAAAACGAGGGTAGAGGAAAATTGCATTTATGTCATCTTACAGAGTACATTTAGCACTATCCTTGCCAAGTATAAAAAAAGAATTTAAAGCCTTTTTGAGAATTTTTTTGTAGTATTATAAAATTGCACATATTGCTTACAATATTACACAGAAACTATTATAATTTTCAAAAAATTTGCGGTTTGAAATTTCTTTCCTTAACACAAGAACTCGCCCAGGAGAACAAATTGTATTTGAAGGAAATCTCTATATTAAATTTTATAGTTGTATGGAAAGGGTTAAAAATATTAAAACTGCAGTTTTAGAAAATTCAGGGTAAACCATGAAAATCGGACCTATAACACCATTATAAGCGTACTTTATTCTTAAACGAAATCTCAAGAAAAAAATTTGAGCAGTGTTTGAGAAAATTTTGAAATCATGCTAAGTACCCTCAAATTTTGAACAATGTTTTACAAAATCTCCAAGTTTCAACACGAACCAGATGGACAGAAATTACTTCAATTTGAAAAAAAAACTACACGATTTAGGCACTAGTATTATTAAAAAAAAACCCACTTTATTGGAATCAGGGGACCACAAAACGTGTATTTCCGTTGAAATCTCAAAATCAATTTTCTGTAGCATTACAAAAATTTCTCTATACTACATATATAACTCTGTACATACGTATGTATATGGGAAAGTAAAAATGTTTATTGATAGGATATGAAACTTTTGAACACCACAATAATACATGCTGGTCTTGTCTCTCATATAACACCTTAATTTTTATTACGTGTAAACCAAAAATTTGTACAGTACTGCAATACTCTTTAATTGATTTAGCAAGAAATCTATTCATGACTTACATGAAAAGAAAGAAGTATCTCATTCTCAATCTGACAATTGTGAATTGCAAGTTCCGAACTCTTGTGTAATGAATTTTAACACATTTATGTACATTTAAAATAACTGTTTTACCGCATTCTGACAGCTTTCCTTCCCAATGTTTTATGATTTCTGACATTGACTGTAATGGGATGGATTGTTCAGTCAGTTCACCAATTTTAAACAAACCGATCTTGAGTCTGTGATGTGAGTTTATTTTATACACATCAATCTGCCAACTCAATTCCTCTACTATATAAGCCAACGTCTATGCAGTCTGCCATTTCATCAAAACTACTACTTCATTTGGTATGTTTCTCATTTACCTCTCTCAGTTGCAGTAAAATATGTTATGTAATGTAAATTACACCTACTTGAGATGCCTACATCTGATTTCCTACTTAATATTACAAACATTTACTTCTATTTACAGAACTTTTATTATGAGTGCACTTAAAAAGTCTGAAGAAGAAGAATGTCTGTGGATCATGGTCCTGCAGTCAATCAGAGACTGCCTGCCCATGTGACAAGTTTACTTCCACTTCATTCTCTTGTTGGATAAAGAATATGAATATTCTGTTCAGTTTCACCACAAACATGTCCTGTTCTTTCTGCGAATGTCACCTCTGCTTCTCAAAGAAACCTTCAACATTTTTATAATTTGCATTTCAAAAAAGGCGGCTCCACTAATTCGGCATTCACCAAGCACTGAGCTACTGCTTGCTTAATCCCAAACAGCTGAGGCGTCTGGCGAATGCTCGCTCCCTTTTATGTGTCCTAAAAATTGACATGCGGTGGGTTGGGCGAATACTGAACGTTCGGCACTTGGAGAATTGCAAGCAACCCATTTACACTACTCAGAATTCAGCGAGCAGTTTCTTTGGATTTCCCAAAAGTCGCATGTGTGGAGCCACCTTAATGTTAACGAGATAAGAGTAGTGAACTGTGAACTCATATCTCCATACCTGTGCTTTGCATGAGAGGGCAACAAAGTTTCCATCAATTAGGAAATTTTTGGCTTGCAAAAAACTTTAAATCATTCGGCTCCAGGTAATTTTCTTGTAGATATAATAAATGTAAATTAATTAAATGACATCATTTTAGATTGTCGGCACTGATCTCTATTATGTTAGTCAAGCAAAATGTGACAAATAATTTTTAAGCATTCAGTAATTCAAGAATTTTGTAGTTTCCATTCGATCGAGAGATTTCGCATTTTAAACTGATAAAAAGGCAAAATGCTGACCTATTGAAACTTTGTAAAATTAAGTTTAATGTCAATTTCACAACAAAAAACACACACAGTTTCCACTGTTAAGCACTGGCTCAGTTGACACAAATGCTATGTTGCACAGCCCATGCTGGACATGGCCTTTGTTTCCACAGTGAAACTGGTCACTCAAGATCATCAATAAGGTCCCATTGCATGTTCACTACCTCCACCCCGGGAGGAGAGTTCTTTGATGATATTTCCCAGCTGACCCGTATTGTAATTTGTGGTTCTGTGTCAAACTCGAAGTATAGTTCATCTTCTATCATCTAGTTTTGAATCTGCGATATGATACGAAAAAAAGTGGTAGGACAAAGCAACCCTAGTCAATACGGGATAAAATAACAATTTTAAAAGTTGTTAGGGAGAGTAGTAATAAAAAGGTTGATAAAAAGATAGAACTGGGAAAACTGATACAACAATAGTGTAAAAACATTAAGTTTTTATTTTGCTCGTAATATCAATTTGGGTTTTGTGTGTTTCTCACACATTTTTTCCTCTTCAGTCCTTTAAAAAATATATAGGGGCAGTTTTACTGTAATAGGACGAACCAGTTTCTATCAAAGAAGATAATTAGGAAAAAACGCAATGTATTTGCATAAATACAGTATATATTTTAGATAATTAAATTTTTCACACACTGGAAATAAATAAAAATTAGACATCACAAAATCATAAACTCTTATCCACAAAAAGAAAGAAAAACATGCAGTTCAATAGTGCCAAGAGCCGAAATGACTTCGCTAGGCATTATATTGTTAAAAAAGAATTTTTTTGAACACATATATCCACATAATTATATTATATTCATAACTGGAGCACCATCTGCTCAATACTTCCCTTATTAATATGCAGAATTGTAAGTTCTATACTACTTATCATATTCAACAAAGACTGAGCAAGTATTCGGCACCAGTTGCCTTCCCAAAAGAAAAAAATTACCTGAAATCCTGGTAAATCCTTCACAACTTTCTTTATTTGTCTTCCTGATTCTCTTCGTGTTGAGATCTTTGCAGATTTAGCATCTAATTGTTGATACAGAGGATCATAGGCATTTGCAGTAGGGGTGGTTGTGTCTGCCTTTCTTTTCACTCCCTTTTTAACCTGAAAACAATAATGTATATATAAACTAAGGTGATACATCACCACATACTGTCTCACTCTCTTGGAAAGAGTTACATAATATTGAAATACTGTAATTTCTGCCATGCTAAAAACTCTGTTATAACTTCAAAAAGTCTTAATTCAACCAATTCCCACAAAACACATGTGATGTATATCAGCATTCATTTTGATAGTCAAAAAAAGTAGTTATCAATTATAATAATTAGATCATGAAGTGGCATTTCAGGAAATAAATAGGAATATAACAGTAAAAAGAATAATTATTTCCAGATACACATTTGAGTCAAGTTTCTCGGGAAAATTCCTTTACCAGTTGCATATACCCCTTTCCCACCGACAAGTCTTGAATGATTTTTATGAAGATTTTGTATGCATTCAAAGCAGCAATGTCAATCTTGTTATAAAATAACCTTATTTTTCGTTGACGAGTACGCCTTTATGTGTAACTGTGGGCCGTTTGGTCCACAAGGTCAACTCTTTGTTTTGTTCTATGCAAAAATAATAGGTTTCTTTTTTGTAGATACTTTGTTTCGGTTCTGATGTACTGTGCTAAGAAGATAATTAATTTTGTTGTTTTGGCAGGTTTGATTTAACCAGATTTCCATGGTGTTCAAATATTTTAGAACATTATTATCTACCATTATAATCTCTCACTTGAGATGGTATTTCCTGCGTGTTAGTTCGTAATTTTAGTTTCTTCTCCATTAGAAATTCACCCAGGAATGAGTACTAAAGTTACAACCACCCATGAATTATGGATGGTATGGATGGTTACAACTATAACAAATCTTGTACTGTTTTGATGCAAAGCTTTTGCAATAGGTTCATCTTTCCTTTTGTAGATTCTCGTATACATACGTACTCGTATATACAAAGTAATATACTTGGTACAGAGAAATTTATTCATAATATATTTGGCCGTTTAGTTAAATGTCTATTCCTAGAATCTCAGCACTAAACACATTGTTCCATATTTACATCATGATTTTTCTCTTGGCAAGCAAATAATGAATTCTGGGATGATAAGGAATACATTCCAACACCACAAATGAGTTTCTTATGCATTAAAAATTCAGTTAAAAGGAAGAGACTACCAGGCCTTGGACGCCCACTTAAAGGAAAGCACAGCTACCTGCACAAAAGTTGAATATGTTAACATTTCATGCCTTACTGACCCTTTCTTTGCCATCAGAAAAGAAACATAACAACAACATAGGGAATCATGAAAGGATACGCCTGTAATGCAAATGGAAAAAGATTTACAGCTTTAAGAAACACAGCTGGGCCTCTGAGGCCTACTAGGTGCACTGAAGGGTCAGACATTGTTTGAAACTGCAATTATGCTGTCAGAGAAAAAATTATGTAAAAACAGTGTCCCCCACAATTCACAACACGGGGACCAATAAAAAAAATGATGCATTATTGTTCATCAATTTCTCAGCTCCAGCTATAATATATCTTATTACTGTAGCCCGGATGTTTGACACAATGCCTTTTAATAATTATTACGATTTTATGACTTAAGAATAGGAATCACTTAATTGTATAGCTGGAGTTTGGAGTTCTCTTAGAAGAATTTCATTATGTTGTTCTTCTCTCATATAAAATAACTCGTATAAAGTGTGATAAAAATCTAAAAGGGAAAGGGAGATAATACCAGTGAAGCTTTTTGATATTTTGCATTGACGCTTATTGACTTGTTCGCTCAGGAGAAATCTTCTGATACATCTGTGTATGGCCCCAGCTCCTTTTTCAGAAAGTGGTGTCTGCACACAATAATACCCTTCTCAGTTCCTTCTTGTTCTCCCTTCTCTTCTAATAATTCCCCAAGTGATAAGAACAAAATTTACAATTCCGTTTTCACTACTACTATTTCAAGATTCAAAACTGTACACAATAGCATTTTATACAGACAAGTGTCGCGAGTACAAGTAGTCCACCGGATGGTCAAGTACAATCTAGATTACAAAGAAAAAGTAAGTTTTCTTCAACATTAGAGCTAATGTAAATTTTAGAGTTAAAATAAAAATGTCTTCATTCAATGGTTCATTTAATTATAAATTTTTTACACTAATTACTTTTAAATGGTGATATTTTAATGTTTCACCCCATACTTTAGCCAAAATAAATGCCTTTTCTGCATGCCTATTTTAGTAAAAATAAATACCTCTTTGCCTGCCTATTTTAGTAAAAATATATGCCTTAACTTCCAGGCTCTACTCATTGCTAAGGAAATGAACTGCGTGAATGAGCAAATTCATTTTTTCATTTTATTGAATCACAACTGAAAATACACTACTAATACTGCCTTTAAGCAAAATAACTAGTTATCAAATAGTTTTGAGTAATAAATAAATTCATGAATTTCACACCACTTGCAATGGATAACACATACTTTCTGTATCCACTTGAATTAAAAACAGAATCTTTTACTTTTACTAGTGTCATTCTTTGACAATAGGCCTTCAATTTCATAACATATTAAGGAACCGAATGCTACATAGCATATGCAATACAACCATCACATCAAAATTTCAAGAGCACCTATAGCATATAAACAAATATTTGCCTACAATCATTCTTACATTACAGAATTAACACTGGAACGGCAGAAAGGGTCAAAATGACACCTACATCAATTGTTTCTTCAACACTAAAGATACTTGAAAGTAGTAAATACAAGTTTTTAAGAGTTTTCTTCCAAACATTGTGACTTTTCCTAACGTTTTTACAATTTTTTGTTTAAGTTGGCAAGAAAATACAATTTTTTAAATTGTTTTTTATCATGTGGTAATCCCAATAACAGCGGGAAGGGCCATTTCGACCACCATATTATATAATTTTTATAACTACCGTATTCATAACATGATCAGAGTTGGTTGGTTCGAATCGTGTTATTATTATGAAGATATTACAGTATCACAATCTTAGATGATATCCCTTTCCTCCAGGAAAGATGCAATATCTATTGTACAGTTTACACCGAACATAGAGGTGTGAATTGTTCTCTTGCTTGATTTAACCATTGTATCCTTCCTGGAAATAAAGAATGAAATGGGCGCAAATTTCTAGTATTGATCTGTGATAAGTTTCTTTCAGTTTTTTATTCTTATTTTAGTTTCCTTGGCAGAATGGTATAATGTATGTGGTCATAATGTCAGGTTCAATTGGTCTTTCTGCTGACGACTTGTCCCATATGCTAGAAAATTCGGACTTTTAGTCAGGAAGCGATACAACCAATTCAGGTAATTTTGTGCCAAGGAATAATGAGGATGAAGCCAGTAGTTTGAGTGATGAACTATCAGCAGAAGAAAATACGATAGTTGTTGTAGCCCAATCTTTTTCTCAATCATCTCAATAAGAGCAGCCAAATATCCTAACAGTAAAAGTGGTTGCCAGAGATGGAAGAGAGCGGGAGGAATCATTAGCGCCAAGTGCACATCATCTTGATCAGGAGCTGTGAAAGTCTTGAGAGAATGAGGTGGTTCCACTTCGTGGGCATGCCAGCGAATGAATGGATCTGTGATACGTTCCTTCTTGTTTGCCATTTGGTAAAGCAATTCCTTGGCTCATCAAGTGAGAGACAGAATCAGAAGCACTGAACATCTACAACAGGACAGTGAACTGAAGGGAGGGGATTTGTCAGATGTACACAAAGGTTAAGGTGAAGAAGAATCTATTACCAGGGCCATAAAAAAACGAAATAAATACCAGAGTAGCTAATGCCAAGGCAGCAATAGAAACCAGCGATTTGTGCAAGAAGTGATATAAAGCTGTTTGTGGGAATTGTATAAAAATAATAAGCTCACCCAAAATAAAGCTCTATTTAGAAAAACCATTCAATACATCGTATTCATGGTATCAAAATGACCCTTTCCTGCTGTGGTCCGAAAATACATGGCAGAGCAAGACATCACTCTATGTTTCAAAAATAGCATTTAAAAACCACTAATAACAAGTGTTACACGTATTAAGATCAAGTTGTACTTCGGACATTAACTGTCACCCCCCTCCCACACCGAGAGATAGCATGTAAATTTAAAATATTGTTTGTACTAAATTGGTTCTCTTCCAGGGTCTTGTATATATCAGATGCATTTCTAAAATTATAATTATTTATTTAATAAGTTCTTTAAAATGTAATAAGCCAGATAATTAAACAATTACTGTGAAATCTCAGAATAATGAACCTGAGTTTTACAAACATATTTCAAATCACCACTCACGTTGTTTCATGATAAATATTTTGTTATTACAAACTAGTCAATCTAGTCCATTTCATAATTATGTATTAACACTTTTAGATAGAAAGATCTCTTGTATTTCTATTTATATTTAATCCATAATTTGCCTACAATTATATGAAATTTGCATTTAGTTACATTTCCATTTTCCTCCAAGCATTACAAAACATTACCCTTAAAGGGAATTATCATTTTTTGCTACTCTATGGCTTGCAGGCATAGATTGTAATGGTAGGAAGTCAATTCTAGAGCAAGTCGACCCTGAAAGGCAGCTTAGAGCTTACGGTTAGCACCTATAGTAAACTTGTGCACAAAGCAATGTGTATTTTTTTACCATGATGGTTCATGTATGATATATCTGAGTGCAAATTGTACAAAAACATTTTGCATAATTTTTGATTTACCATTCTATTGAAGTGGAAATGAATAGAAAGTTGAAATGGACCAATGTAGCACATGCTTATGATAAGAAGCCAATATCAGATTCATCAATATAAAAAAGCAAAGAGAAAATCCTGAAAATTTTGTTTTCAATATAACACACTTTTCAAAATGAACTATAAATAAAATAATTTTATGATGTCCTTTATACTGAAATTTCACAATATATGCATAATGTACTAATACTAGTAATCACCAGTCATTCCTAGAAATTTCACATCTAGAATACATTTAACTTTTTTCCTCCATGCGAAGAGAAAAACCTTTAGAAAATTTATGCAATTCTACTTTGCATCATTAGTTACATAATCACTGCATAATGTAACATACCTTTGCAGGTTGTGCCGGAGGTATTACAGGAGGTGCTACAGGTTGACTATGCACAGGGCCTGCAGCAGGTGGCTGAGGTGGTGGGGCTGTTGCAGTTTGTTGGCCTTCCAATTGGGAAGTATGGGCTGGTTGTACGTGATATCCACTGGCTGGGGCAGCGACCTATGAACATTAATTGTCAGTAAAAATGTCTAACACTCACTTAAATTTAAACGCAAGACAAATTGACTTTCTGATCAGCTGGGTCTTTGTGATCCAACTGAGAACTTCAATTCAAAAAATTTAAGATGTAACAAAGCTCCCAATTGGATAATTACATCGCAGGTGATTACTGTCAAATCAGAGTATATCTTGGATTATGCCAATTGTAACAGTTAATTTTACCTGTTTAGGGAGAGAATTATGGGTGCCATGGGTGAGAGTCGTTGCAGTTGGAACAGTGGTGGTTGCAGTACTTCCAGGAACTGTTGTAGGGGCCTGAGTGCTGAGAGGAAGTTGACTTGACCCTGTGTTTGTTGCTGCAGGAGCAGCGGGAGAGGACTGTACAGCATTTGGTGAACTCCCAACAGTTGTAGACACACTAGAAGTAACAGTGGCTCCACTAGAGCTAGTACTAGAGGCTGGTCGGCCCCTTTGACCAGTGTTACGCCCCTTTTTGCCCTTAGGTCCTTTGGGTGGAGGAGGATCTATTTCCACTTCCTCTTTTGGCAGTCCAGCAACCTGGTGTAAAAGGAAAGAAAAAAAAAACTCTTTTCATTCACATCACAGATAGGATACCCAGCATTCTAAATGGGTAACAAAATTCCTTGAACATATTTCAATTACTATCATAGGGACTGTTCACACAGAAAAATTGAAGTACGAAGAACAAATATAAGATAAACAATGTTTACTAAGCCATTTACAATGACAACAGGATATGAAGTTCAAAATAAAACAAATTATTAATAATGAATTTAGATTTCGCTAGCAATTCCACATAGTATAATTCTGAAATAAATTAATTGTACCTCAAAATGGTTATTTTTATCCTTTTTCGTTTGGGTTCAGTGTGAAAGCAAGATGAACATGAAAGCTTGGAGTTAGCAAGTTTTTAGTTTTTATTTAAGGAGTGTTCACATAAATCTAGATTTGAAATATTACGTTTAACTCAAGTATAAGCAGAAGAGTGACACCGACGATTCACTCTTCAATGGAAGTTAATAACTTGTTACATCTGATTGGACACACTAGATCACAAAAATATTTCTGAAGATCCAAGGTATCCTGACTTAATTAATGAAAACTCAAATTAATATTTTTTCTATCTCTGAGAAATATGCAAAGTTTTATATTAATCTCTTAACACAATTTAATTATATATTTAAACAAACCTTTGTGAGAAATAATTTTTCCAATGTTTGAGCCATGACAACCACATCTTCACCTGGTTTATTGTAGACATAGCAATTTGTGAACATGGTATTGAAATCTTGGATACATTCTTTACCACTCCAATAGTAATTGTGTTCCAAACGCTTTTTTATAGTTCCAAGATCCATTGGCTGTTTGATGATTTTGTGATAATCCTGAAAATTCAAAAACATTTTAAACTAAATTATTTAGCAAATTACAAGTTGAATATTAACAAATTTGTGATCGAGAATAGCCTGTAAGATTTACAAAACCAAGAAGGCAACAAAGGAAATTTAAATGACAGTGTAGAGCAATGCTATTTAAGAGATGATATACACAAAGAATTGAAGCATCAAGAAATAACAAGAATAAGCGCATTTCCAGGGAAAATTAAGTGTAGAAATATATAGTTAATGAACTTAAAAACAGAGTGGCCTAAGATTGAGAAGTTCTAAGATATTAAGTAAAATACTGAAAAAATTACATTGAATTACAAGCAACCTGAGAAAATTCAACTTCCTATTTCTTAGATTCTGAAAGGTGTAATTTATCCCTCTCATCCACTTGATGCCTCAATTAATAATGTAACCTTGATTTAAATGCAAGTAATAGCTTCAAATAATATTTTATTTGTAACCAAAATCCAGAGATGTTTTACAAAATACATAATATTACCAAGTATTACGGTTTTCTTCCATATTGGTCAGTTTTGAAAGCTTGGAATATACAGTGCTGACCATTCTTGGGAGCACACTTTTTCTAATAAAGATATCTGGTTCTCCAACATTCTTATATTGAACTTGATTCCATGTTCGCTTCAACAATTTCATGATTTCCCCTCTAACACACTCATATTAGGAATATGTCCCCAATAGATGTTTTCTTCAAATGAATTTGGCGGTCTCTACATTTTCTGGGGACTCGTATTTTTCGGACCGAAATATAGTATAATAGAATCTGGAGACCTAGAGTTTTGTCTCATTGCCTTGTTTTGAAAGTGGGAAATGCTAGTAAGGTTCATTTTATCTATTTTATCATACATTTTATTCTTTCCAACTTTATGTGTGATATCAAGATTTTTCAGTATTGCAATTGTCTTGCTTTTCAGAGCCATCATAAATAAGATTTTCAAATAAATTATTTATATTCTAAGGAACACTAAGTTACGACTGAGAAAGTCATCTGGCAAAGACAATGTGACTACCAGTTACATCAATCATTTTAGCTTGCAGATAATCCTGCGGGTTACGCTTTGTGGATAACTCCTGTGTTCTGGGTAGTACAGTTATTAATCAAAATGTAAAAGAAGTACCGTATACATCAGTTATAAAACTGATCTTCTAATACTCTTACCTTTATAAGGCTATATGTATTTTAGTAATTTGAATATGAGATAATCGCGAGCATGTAATTAAAAAAAACATGTTTAAATTTTTTTATTTTTGTGGAAGTAACAATGTTACTTTTATTTGTTATTGGGTTAATTTTTAAAATTAAACTTTAGTTAAAAATAGTGTGGTTGAGTCACTTCCAGGAAATTTTATTACACTTGTTTTCCCGAATACTGGTAATATCCGTGAAATTTTTCTCGACTGATGGCTTGGAGAAATTCAGGTGGAGTATAAGTTACAAAATTGGCAACTAGAGATTATGAAGGAAAGCTTGAAGCCTTCGCAACTTTCTCAATAATTTGCCTTCTTTCTCAGGAGTTCAGGGTATCTAAGCCATTTCTACCCTACCTCAGCCATTTCTTTAAATTTATTAGAGAAAAACCCGATCAGGACAACTTCAACAGCAAATACTTTCTATTTCACACCATTGAAGATGTGTTTGGAAAGTCGCCATCTGTGTCCACTATAACCTTCTACCTTTAACAGTTTATTGTAGCATGTAGGCCATCGATCAAAAAAGATGCAAAAGTAATAATTCAGATTGATCACCAATTATACACCAAGGAACTGAAAACTCTTGAATTTGAGAGGATATGGAGGCAACATCAATAATCTCAAGAACTGGTACAGAAAACAATGACATAGAAAGGTAAATAACGTGCACAATAGTCAGCCAGCAGCCACATCAACTTCCATATATCATAAACCAATCTTCAATTGAGGTAAAAAGGCGAAATATGGACAGGTTTCACAATAAAGTAGAGCTACAGCTCATTCTACAATTTTAATTCCATGATATTTAGTTTCCTCTATCTAAAGTTCAGTTTTATAATCGTAGAAGTTTTGTTAAAAAATTATTTTAAAAAAGGTTGGTAAAGATTTATTTCAACCATTTTGTTAAGTAATAATCCGTTTACTCACCATTACAAAGGAGGGGAAAGTGCTCAAATACATAGTGGTTCACACTTTCGAGAAAAATTAAAAGCAAACAAAAGGTGAACAAGGAAACTTTTCTTAATACTGAAAAAACAATATAATTGCACAATAATTGTTGACAGTTAAGAATGAAAATAATATACAATCAAAATTCACTCAATATCTCCATAAATCATTACAAATATTAAAATCTTCTTCAGATCTTTTTTATAATCATATCTCTCATGAAAATCACTATCTAATTTTGGTTTATCAAAAAACACATTTTAAGATTAAGATTTGTCATCACAACTAAAAGAAATGTTTTGCAATTATTGCATCTGTGCGTTTTGATTCTAATATCGCAGATTCAGCAATGAAAAATACAACAATGTTTAATCAAACATCACATATCAGCAAAACCTAACTAGTTTGACTTTTTAACCTTTTTTCAAATTGATTCTTCTCAAAAAAGGTTGTTTCTACAGTCATCAAAAAACTGGTGTGAAACAATGTCGCGAATTTCAAAAGTAATCTGAATGTTAAAAGAACTACAGAACAAAACATGCAAAAGTGATTCATAAGTAAAGAAAGAAGAAGGTGTAATAAGAAATTGCGATGGAATTTAGAAGTAAGAAGAAGCAAATGGAGAAGAAAAAGAAGAGCAGAATGTTAAGATCATGAACTCAAATAATGACAGGTCACAAAAACAAGATGACAAACTTAATTTAATATGTCCTGAATGTTTGGAACAACTGACGAAAATACAATAAGATGCAATGGAGAATGTGAAGTGCACTAAACTAACAAATGGTGAAATGATGATACTCCATAAAGCATCTTGTAATGTTGTGTGGTTATGTATGAAATGCAAACCGAACTACCAAGCAAAAAGAAATCTAGCAAGATGATGCAAAAACAAATCTAAAACCTAATAAAGCCTATGATAACAAACGAACAAAAATGTACTATGAAACTACTTTTCAATGTATCACAAAACCCCATTCATTCAGAAATATATGAACAAAAGAAGGAAGATGAACCTTTCAAGAATTCCAGAGATCAAGAAAGCCAATGACATCCAAAAAATAGCATTCCAAATAACAGAAGATGATATAATGATACTAGAGGAGGAGGAGGAGGAGGAGGAGGAGGAGGAGAAAAGCAGCATTGTACCAAAAACTGGTAGAGGTCATATCCAAAACAATGTATGAGAGGGGAAGCCACGATACAGAAAAATCACTCCATTCCAGGACAAAATGAACAACTATTAACAGAGGTCCAAGGGATGAGAACAAGAAACCGGTATGGAACACGTGTAATAACTGGCACCAAGGAGGACAACGTGAAAGGAAAGCCCAAAATACAAAGCAGTAGAAAAGTGACATGGCAGAATGTCGGAAAGTAGGACCGGAAAACACGATGATGATGATGATGATAATGATTTACTAGCATTCATCAAAGAGTCTGAAGTAAATGAAGAAATATCAATAGAAGAACCATACACAGTAGGACGAAACAAGTCCTTGAATGTGGGACTCCTACAAGAGGCCCCAAAGATAAACAGTAGTGAGTTTTGGAGGTAATAGTACAGCCATTTCGTTTCCCACGTGGAAGACTTCCCACGTGGAAGAATTAAATATCCCTCATTTGGACAAATTATAAGAGATTCCCAAGAAAAAGGAATAATTATGGCAGTAATAAAGTGTATGACCTGGAATACTGAAGGGATGATTAATTAGATTAACTTGACTGGCCATTGTATATTTGAACAACGACATTATAACGCTGCATGGAACATTCCTAAGGAAACTATGGAACACTCCAAAGTTTTATGCATCACACGTACTCACAGTACAAGGTACATTAGGAAGACCAGAGGGCAGAATCACTGGTCTCCGAGTCTAAAGCTCTCCCCCTTTAAAACTGTACATAAAACACATAAGGTGTTAACACTCAAAACAAATGGTGACTAGAGTTATGTGCCCACTTTCAGCCAGAATTTAATGGAGAGGTAACAGATGTGATCGCAATCTTTAAACAGATTACCAATGATGACTATTAATATCAGACAATACTATTGGCCAGAGATCTATATTGCAAACTGGATCAACCAAAGATCAAGACAGTGCACGTAACTAAATTCCAACTTGATGAAGACCTAACTCTATGTAATGACCCACACACGAAGACCTACATAGACCCTGTGGATCAAGTACCATCAATGTCATATATTGAAATATGGAAAACATGAGCCTCCTACAACAACAAACAGTATGTGACAATGTGATAATCAGAAAATGCCTATCAATGAAATGTTGGATAACCATAGATGGAGATGCATGAAAGGCCAAGAAATATCCTGCTCAACCCGTAACATATTCCAGGAAAAACGTGGAGAAACTGGAAAACGCTACAGCCAATACATGAATCTTCTAAAAAATAAACTGGAAGGGCTAAATATTGCACTAACGAAGATAGATGTAATACCCAAACTAATAGAATCTGTGAAGGTCTGACATACAAAATCGAAACCGTGGTTGAACGCACAATGCTATACAACAAGAAAAAATACACTGAAAGTTCTTCATAAGTACAAGATCTCAAGAACACATCAAGATTATCAAAGGAAAAGGAGAAAATACAATGAGAAACTGAACGAGACAAGAAAGCAATACCTCATAATGGAAGAAACAAAATTAATAGATGAGGCAGAAAACAATATATTCAAAGCCCTACAACAATGACATCCAAGGTACCCCAGAGTAATTCCTATGGGGACTAAGGACAGTCATTTTAAAAATGCCCTACAATCAGAAGACACCAGGCCTACGGAAGGCAATAAATAAGACAATGAAATAGAAGACGACCACTGGTTCACTGTAAAAGAGATTGAATCTTTAATACATCATTCCAAAAAGAAAAAGGCTCGCAGATCCAACAAGATACATAATGAACACCCCCAGGGCACTTCAGTACTACTACAAGAAACACGAATCAATCTAATGAAGTAGTGCCTCATAGAATTGAACATACCAGATAAAAGGAAAAGGTGATGTGGCAGACACAAATAACTACATAGTAATTGTATTAGAATGCTCACCTTTTAAGATAGTTACTATATATATATATATATATATATATATATATATATATATATATATATATATATATATATAGATATAGATATATATAGATATATATCGAAAAAGTAAAATTGATCGATCTACCACTTGGTGATGTGTCTATCGAAATATACACCTTCCCGACTGGTATATGAACACACAAAGAATCCTTCTATATTGAAAAAGTAATATTGCAGCCACTCTTGATGTTAACTAAGGCTTACAAAAAAGCGATACAATAAATCAGCAGGAAAAAGAAATTGAAATGAAAAATTCTTCTCTACAGACACATTGACAACATCTGACCGGAAACGAACCAGCTATGAACTCAAAGAGATCTGATTACGCAATTCGCTGTACACAGTTTTCATCATAGAATCTGTAGTAACAGGAAAAATCACGAGCCAGATTTTCAGTGTAAATGTGAAAAGTGCAATAACTGCTGCGATTGCTATCATAAGATGATATGTGAAAAAACAAACATGTCACTGACCACGTTTTGCAGCGGGAAGTAATAGATAGCTGCTTCGCACATACATGCAGTATTACAAAGGCAACTTGTAATGTTTTAAATTTTTACAAAAAAGCTAAAAGAACAAATTTTTGGTGGGCCAAATTTTTGGTGGACACAATTGTTAACAAACTTGCACAAAAAATTTCTCTCTACCACCTTATATCTCCAAATGTGAAAATGAGAATTTTATAACACTGAAAATTTAAAGAAAAACGATAGGTTACACAGGATGCCTAACAAAATTCTTATACAAAATTCTAATTTTTGCAGGGTTGTCAAAAGTTATTTTTAGATTTGAAATTTATAAAAATAATTAAATAATGTTAAAACAAAAATATTAAACATTAATCAGCATGACAGCATTTTTTAATTGATAATTCAAATAAAAGTTTCGTTTTTGAATACATACTCATTTCAACAGTTTAGTTAGTTCCAAATTCAAGTGTTTATTTATTAATTTCAAGAGTTAATATTTATTTGACAAGAATCAATGTAAAGAGTTAAATATTTTATTTCTATGAACATTTAAGTTTAATTTACATCTAGATTCCAAATGTCATACAGGAATGAAATATGAATTTCATTTATATGAGTTTCTATGGAATAAGGTTATCTCTCTTTAATTCTGAATTCCATTCTTCGTAAGTAATAAATTAAGCAGTGAAGTGTGTTGTCATAAGTTAACTGAAAACTATGAAATATACATAAAATTAAAACATAGTGCAAGTTTATTTTAATTATTTATTATTAATCTATAATGCATCATATTTGTATTGAAAATCAAGAAATTTCACTTAGCTACACACTGAAGATACAGACAAAAATATGCAAAATCATAGAAATCCGCTCCCTAGTCCATTTGTAGTCTTATATTTCTGGATTTTATTTACTATGTCCTCTAATCTCAGCTCAATTATATTTAATAAAACAAATTTTAAAAAAATTAAATTAGAACTTGTTCTATTATTTGCTATTTATATCAATTTTGACTATTGTCATTGCTTTTCTTTGATCTGCCATTGAATTTTACTTGCTTGGGGAAGAGATCATATTATGTTTCACTGCTGTTTTATACAATTCATTCGTTGCAATCGGTAAGTCATCTGATACCATTATTACATATATACTTTTGAGTTTTTCTATAGTAGCCAATGACACAAGGTCATTGTTACACCTCCTGCCTTATAAAATTAATCTTTTTAAGTAATTCCTCAACAAGGCTCAAACAATGATCTAATGTCATCAGCCACTATAGGAAAATCAAAGAAAACATCTGCATAAAGGATTGTTTGCTTCCTCTTGTCTTTTACTGAGATTTATTCCTCTCTTGAGTTACGTTTGCATTCCTTGACATGGTACACAAATATATTGAAAAGGCACGATGGCAGACCACATTGTTTTAGTCTTCTGTTGATTTTGACACTTTTTTGTTTTTCATTCATCTGGACATGCCTTTTCTTAGTACCGTAGGTATCTTTTCTTCTTCCAGTATTTCTCACACTGAATGTCTATTTACTCTAATACATCCCTTTTTAAAGTCTATCAATGAGTATTCCATAACAAAAATTATTCCATTTTAAACATTTGCTTATCTTCACTCTTCACTTTGATGGTTCACCATCATCATCCTTAGATTTTTGATGTTGCACCTCAAGAGGTTCCTTATAAAAATAAACAAGTTTTGGGCTACACTTTGCATATTCCAAACATTCTCAGACTATCTGTCCACTTCTTTTGTTGAGTCTCAATTGCAACCATTTAATTGGGAAAGAAAACATGCCACCAATAAATGTGTTTAAAGTATGTCTGTATTGTAACACTTCATATACAATAAGAATTTAAAATTATATGACTACTTACCGGCAAGTTCAGCTTTTTGGCATCAACAGGTTGTTGGAAAGGCCATGAAAAGTTGTGTTTCCACACTGTCTTGAGAACAAACTTCAAAAGAAATTGAAGTTGATTAGTCAGTCTGCCCGGACGGTCTGGTCGCGGGAAAACTGGAGGCTGCACTACGCCATTGACAGGCTCCAGGTGGGGCTCTTCCCGAGGAGGTGGTTCATTCACCTCCGATCGGGTGCCCCCACTTGACTCCTGAAGGTGAAAGATGCAAATGTCAAACAACATTTAACAGGGAAGTCATGCATAACCACAAACAAGTTTTGGTACATTTGATAGTTGAGGAGAAATTGGGGTGAGAGTAGGGAGAGCCCAAATAGAGTGGGAGAGTGAGTCGTTCTGAAAGGTATCTGAATATATAAATATATTTTGATTGTTAAGTCAAGTTTGTTACCAACACCATTTAACTAAGTTTTCAGTGTTACATAATCACCTTTTTTTCTCTTTATAATAATGTTGCAACATTATAAATATTAAAATTAAGACAATGCAATTTATTCCCATCAAATTCACCAGTGAAAGATTACACATTTCCAAAGTAAAACTGACATTTCATTACATATAACAAAATTATACACTCCTGTTATACAGTAACCTTTATGTAGTCTCCTTTAAATGTATTTCACCCCATCAAATTCCAATAATTTCACTCCTCAAGACAATACATACAAAAAAGCTCTGACTTAATCTTTCATGTTTTGTTGATCTCTCAAATTATACCATCCAACAATTTTTTCACTGCAATTCAAACTCCCAGACAATTATCTAGAACGTACCCAATATTTGTAACAAGCAAGATACATTTTCAAGTAGACCAATAATGATTACTAAGTCAAGACAAACATTAACATATTTATTACTAATGAATGATTGTTAACCAATGAAAGATCCTTAAAAAACATTAAAGAGTGAATCATCCACACTAATGCTCATTTATTAACCTCTCTTGTGTTTCATTTCATACACTGCTTTCAAATTGAATCACTCCGCATAAAATAAGGCATCAATTCAATGCATACAAATTTAAAATAGAGTATTATATTCAGAATTTCTTCATGTGCTTTTACATTTAATTTATTTAATAGCAATCTTTATTATTAGTTAATACAAATTTAAAATTTATATTATTATTTCTCTTATTGATTACTTTGTTTTAAACACGTAAAGGTACAAGAATTTTATTGACAAAATTCTTCAAACATAATTTCTTTTTTTTTTTAAGGTCCAAATATGATCTACTTGTTGTTGATCAAGGGGAGCATATAAACTTCTACGGTGCCCTTTGCACACAACTGGCATTTATTATTTTTTTAATGTCTTTGAACATCATTAAAATATATGAACTTATTTAAACAATTCTAAATATCCAAACCATCTGCATAACATAATCGGTTGCATTTGCTACATCAGATACAAGAGTCCATTGAAAACATATACAAAACAATTTGACAAATTGAAAAGTTTTGTAAATCATTATCTACCCTCCTAAACGTCTCTGAAATAAGCAAAACAACTGCTCTCCATATTAATAGGATTTTCAAAAATCAGAGAGCAACTTATTTGTGGTACTTCATGAAACAAAGCAAGGGCAAATGAACAAGACACTCCACGTTAATCAAACTTTAACCACAAAGATTAATCCTTCAAAATAGAGGCAATTTCTTTCAGAGAATGAGAATGGAGTGCTCACATTTCTCAAATCTATTTCATTATTTAACAAAAACAAATTTCACAAAACTTAAAATACAGAATGAATTACACTTCTGACAATAGCACAACAAACTCTGAAACCTGTATTTTCTATTAATTGCAACCTATCCAATACAAAATACAAGTACTTCTTCTTCCTCTCTTTACCACCCAATAACTTGTATATTATCCAGCATCATAGCTATTATAGGGACTGGAAAAGTTCTGTTCGCATTTATTTAATAACATTGATTTTTAATCCAAGCACATCCACCGATTCTACACTAAAGGTAAGATTAAAAAAGTCATTACCTACATGAGATTTACATTTTAAAAAAATGTATGAAGCTAAAGAAAAATGTAAACATAAGTGTAGAAAGAAAATTACAGAAATTCTCAAATTAGAAGAAAAAAAAAAAAAAAGAAAAAAAAAGTGGCACCCTAATATTTTCACACAAATTAAAAACACTTGGCACAAATGCAAAGTAATAAAATTATTGTGTAACTTCTATGCCTTAAAAAAAGAAGGTGAAAGAATAAACTATAGCAAGTGAAACAAAAGCCACTCCCAAGTTATAAAAGTACCAAACCATGCGTTATGTATTTTACATTTCATATTTCAAAAGAATTAGAATTACCTTATTCATTGTACACAGCCTGTTCTCCCTGTCCTTTGAAGCAGACTGTAATATGAAAGGCTCTCATTATTCCTATTTAAAACCTAATACATGTTCAAAATACAGTTTTACTATAATTCGACAAAATGAAAACTAGTATTAAGAAAACTTAAGTTTAAAATTAAGTAATCAATGGATCATTAATCCATTGACTCCTAAGCAACACTATTTAGTACAACTTGTAATAAGCAGCCAACATATTAATTCTAAAACAATGGTGGTTTGCACGTCACTGTTCATCCATTACATCATAATCACACTTGGTAAGAACAAGCTTTGAAAGATATTGTCTGCTTTCAAACATGCCTCTAAACAACTTTAAGCTTTTTTGATCATGAATCTCCATCATTTTGTCTTTTATATCTACATTATTACCTAAGATTAACACATTGAGCTAGGTACATCTAGGTCAGAAAAAAACGTAAGCAGAAAATGAAATATATTTAAATTATCTTGACAGCAATTTTAAGTAAGTTTCCGTACATGAGATTTCACCAACCAAAACCATTCAAAAAGCAATATAATCAAACTCCAAATAAAGTCTAGAAAACCCTAAAAAGATTATTAACAATAGGTAAATGACAGAATACCATTAAACAAAACATAAAGCTAAAGAACTGTTTTATTTCAAGGCTACAATATTAAAACTTATAAAATCAATATGACGCACTACATCACAACAAATCGCTAAAGTTTAGCACCATGAAACAACAATTCTAAGATGCTTAACAAAATCAAGATTCTTTGACAACACACTATCTAAAGGAGTTCCACAATATGACTTCACAATTTGCACCACATTATATAAAAAAAAATTAATAAATTTGGACTAAATATTTTTTTTATTTAATATCACTAAATTCTAAATGTGAAATTAACACTACTAAAAATTATTCAATTCAAAGGGGGAAATGTTTAAGTTACTAATAAAAAACAACAAAGGATAAACAAGCATGTTTTACCAAAAGTCTGTCAAATACTGAACTGCTGCATTATCATTCTATAATGACATAACCACAGTTCTGAAAACAAATTTAGCTACTGCATTAACATGATCCAATGGTATCAACTAAATCAGTGTGCAGTCATGTTGCAGTCCAATAAAAACAATTTCAAATGTATTAAACTAGAAGATAAAATTGTAACACACACTATACGTACTGTGTTGTTTTGAGAAGCTGATTCAACCTGCTGCATGTCTTGCCCACACCTGGAAAAGAAATTAAACATAAAATAAACAGAATTTAAAAAACGAAAGAGATTTAATACTTAATAATGACCTGTCACTGAGGGCTCTAGACAAAGAACCAGGTCTTTAACTGCCATGCTCCAGAACTACTCCATACACCATAGTCTACATTCAAAATGAATTCAGATTGAAATAGAACCTAGCTCAAAAATGAAATGAAGTTTTTATTGAAGACAGGACAAACATTTTACTATACTTATTTAGTGTGATAAGCAACATCTAAACAAATGTTCTCATTCAACATCCAGAATCCAGAGGATGCCAAGAAAATCCACATCAAGATAAACATCATAGATCAAGAGGGAAACAATTTTCTACAAAAGAAAAATGTGTGCATCCCACAAATCAAAACATCAACCTATTATAAATTGATCCACTAAAACCTGAACAATCTGAGAACCAGAATGGACATTAAAAGATCCATTCTTTATTCCTGTTAAGGTTGATGCTGTATGATTCACACTTAGCATCCCACCCACCTCTAATCAATTTAGAATTTTAACTGTTTCAAACTTCCTTTTCCCACATCTTACCTGTCTGATACACACATAAAATAGAGCTAATCTTCATGAACAAAGCTGCCAAACCGCTGGAACACTCCCATTATTCACAACCTCCTCACAGCACAAGCAGTGAAGATTTGGTCTATTCATCCTTGGTATCGCTGTGCATCTTGTTATCAAAATCTGTCAAGAGAATGTGGTCTTAAAAAAAATTTGAACACGAGAAGATAATTCGAAAGTTTTCAATGCATGCAAGTGAATTTTAATATATAAATATGCTCTAAATGCATTCAATGCATGCACAGGTATAATTTAGCAATTCTTATTTCCTTTGTTTTCCAACCCTTACTTCAAAAAACAATGTTAAACTCTTAAGCAAATCTGAAAAATTTAAGTAACCAACAAGCATGTGTGATTTTCTGAACGTAAGAAAGTAATTATAAATAATTAGGTACTTTAATTCTTTCAATATTTTTATTCCAATAAATTCAAAATAATTGACACGATTGTTTATTTTGTTTAAAAATCTTTATTTTTCAATTCCATGATACACAAAAATATCTACTTTCATAAATACTCAACTCACAGCTTCAACTGAAAATATAGTGTGTGAATAGACAATTAGTTACATAAGTATTTTTATGTACAAATAATACAGGTATCAATCTACATTTCTGAAACTATGTTACCACCGGCCTTATCCGTCTTATTTTATGGTCTTTATTAGAAAATTTGAACATTGAGCACAACACACTGTAACAGCATTTACATTTCTTCTGAAAACTGAAGTAACAGGACTTATTAAGTTTTGTTTTAATATTTCTTTTCTTACAGGTACACTTAGCTTTAACACTTGTGTACGAAAAAGAACTATTTAACTTTAAATGAAAACAACCTTGTTAACGTTTTACAAAAGTTTTCATAAGAAAGCCAGATTACAGCAAATTAAAAACCCTACTCCATCCATATGTACACATTACTCCTGATGTCTATTAACGAGCAGAAGCCAAACCTATACAGCATTGGAGAAGTGGAATAACTATTTCCCACAACTGCCCGCATTCAATAGAAAGTACAAAATAGACTCTGCTTTATCTAACATTACGTCTTCAACAAATTTTCTGTACTGCAAAGTTCATCTAACAAAACGTAAGGAATTATTCAGTACTAACCAACGTTGAAGAAAGCAAAACTAGCACCACCACAAAGCAATTGAACATATTCCTACCAACCAACCAGTTGAACATTTTCAATCACTGAAATACATAGTACAATACATACATGGCTTTCATTCTCACAGCGTACTTAATACCTGAAAACATTACTGATCACCGACCGCAAAACTACTGATCATTGCAGTTGTCTTCCACCAGGTTTCACCAAACACTTTACATAATATTGCACAACATTACTGCAATCATAAAATAATGTCACACTTTTACAGTATGTCACTTTACTTCTCTATAACATTTGCTTATGCAGAAGCAGATAATTCCACTGACAAAATCCGTTTGTAAATATTTGGACCTCTTAGACATAACCTACATCAATACTAATTCTGACTTTTAGTACTTCTTTATACTGGTCGGTTATTTCACACTTCTAATCAACACTAATTCTGTCTTTCCAGAAATAGGGGAACCTTTATGAAAACAATTAATACAAGTTTTCATGCATAGGCACTTTATTTCCATTCGTGAATTTATAAGAATTGCTAAATTCCAAGAATAAATGTTAAGAAAAACAAAATTACATTAAAATTGCTTGAAATTAACAACGAATTACAACATAATAAGCATTCTGAATGCAATCAAAAACTAGCACTAAAACTAACGGATAACCTAATATCTGAAAAAGCCGGAACGCGGCCAACTTAAGTACTGGGAACCATTTCTTCAAAATAGGTTACATATATGGTTCAAAATAATCACATAAATTTATATATGCTTTTGTTCCGTTTCTCGAGGTTTTCCTTCCAAGCACTTCAACATGGCGGGTTCCCCACTTAGGGAAGAAAGCCGAGAGGCCTACTGACTCATTCATTGAATAATGTTACACCTATTTACATGCATAGTAATTATTATTCTAACTTATTCCAGTGGCACCGAGAAACACGGAGAACCACCTACCTGAGGCTGGAAGATGAAATTCAATATCAATTTTTGTAAAACACTACACTACGCCTCTGCCGAAGCTTTTCCTTGGTGTTATTATGGCCGTCTTCCCAGGGACTGGGGAACCCACTCACGAAAAAATTCATATATCTTCACATTTAAAGGTTCGATACAGCAAATATTATGTTAGTACCCTGCACTGGAGTCAGACGATGATTGCTGGTGGGCTCTGAGGACAGGATGATTTTCAATTCCCATGATGAATTTCGATCTAAAATCTAACGATCGCACTCTCTCACAAACAGCAATGGCTACGGCAGCTACTACTCCAACGGGTTGTTTGAGTGGAGAAAAATCCTTTGAAATTTCGCAAGCTCTGATTGGTCAGTTCACGTCACATGACCTAGGGGCCTTTCGATTCCGTCAAATTTCTCCTACATTTTAATAGTAATTACGGATATTCTCAAAGTGTAGATAAATTGCAGTAATATATAAATATCAAAAGATAGGATATTGGAAGTTGTGAGCACATATTCTGAAGATATCCACAATTGTTTCGAGACAGCGTCCCTGCACCTTCAACAGCTTCGCCGAGATCACGTGACGGCCAAGCACGGCATGCCGGGAATAGTTTTTGGAAAAGGAGTCGGGGAAGTCGCGGATTGGTGTATTGGTTGACGAAGTAGGTGTTCTATTGGTTAGAATTATTCCGGGTTGTACGGTGTTGTGTTTTGTGTTGATTCTGTATCTAGGGTAAGTTTATTTATTGAAAATATAAACTCTATTAATATTTTTAATCATTAAATCTTGAGGATTGTCGCTAGATTATGTCATGTTATTTGAGGAAGATACCTTCTAGTTTGACCTATGTTTATGGAAAATGCCATGTTACCATGCCTGTGCTCTCTGTAAGAGTAAGGGAGATAGGTTACACCTATGTTTTTGTGAAAATAATAAAACCATATTCATTTACAGTTTTACGGCCATATGATAACACTTCCTATAATACATAGAAGGCAGCGGATATAGAAGATAATGGTTCCCCTTGGACCATCCCAACCTCATCCCCAGCAAAGCGCAAACAACAATTCGACCACCCCAAATGCACTTAACACATCTGGTGGAAGTTCTACGAAGTCCAGTTCGACTTTGGTATGTTTCTGAAATTTATATTATTCTAAATATTTGAATATACTCGTTACTTAGTGACATGTCTATCATGTGTAACATCTTTTACAGAAACCTAATTATACATTAAAATTCACCCTTGCTGGTCATACTAAGGCAGTTTCATCTGTAAAATTCAGCCCTAATGGAGAATGGCTTGCCAGTTCTTGTGAGTAATTTTGAATAAATAACTGCTTATTGTGAGTGTGTGTGTGTGTGTGTGTATGAAACATGTTTTCTCTGATTTTAGCTGCTGACAAATTAATTAAAATTTGGGGTGCATATGATGGAAAGTTTGAGAAAACCATTTCGGGACATAAATTAGGAATATCGGATGTTGCTTGGTCAAGTGATAGTCGGCTTCTTGTGAGCGCATCAGATGATAAGACTTTGAAGATATGGGAATTGAGTTCGGTATGGATTGCACCTTAATTTGGTCTAGTGCCTAATATAGTAAAGACTCACATAGTGTTTGCAATAATATATGTGGACTGATGTATGTATGATTTTAGGCAAAGTGTTTGAAAACCTTGAAAGGTCACAGTAATTATGTTTTTTGCTGCAATTTCAACCCTCAATCTAATTTGATCGTATCAGGTTCAGTAAGTATATTTGAATATATGTGGCATATAATGATCATGTGCTGAATAAATGTACTCAACTAATGTGAAAATTTCCAGTTTGATGAAAGTGTTCGAATATGGGATGTTAGAACAGGCAAATGTTTAAAAACTCTACCAGCTCATTCTGATCCTGTGAGTGCTGTACATTTTAATAGAGATGGGTCTCTGATTGTCTCTAGTAGTTATGATGGATTATGGTAAGTCAAAAGTAGTAATTAAATATTAAAATTACATGCAATGATATACCAATTTGATGGTAGCACTGGTTAGTAACCAGTGAAAAGTGAAAGTGATAATGTGCCCAGAAGCCATTAGCATTGAATCAAGTGAAATTCTCTTATTTAGTCGTATATGGGACAGCGCATCAGGACAATGTTTAAAAACGCTAATAGATGATGATAATCCTCCTGTATCATTTGTGAAGTTCTCTCCTAATGGAAAATATATATTGGCTGCAACTTTAGACAACACATTGAAACTTTGGGACTACAGCAAATGCAAATGTCTGAAAACTTATACAGGACATCGAAATGAAAAGTATTGCATATTTGCCAATTTTTCAGTGACAGGGGGTAAGGTAAGTTAACTTCATAACATTTCATATTTGTTTTCGCTTATCATTTAGAAGCTTATTTATTTTTTTAATTACCACTTTATCTTATTACATTCTTAACTTATTGATACACAAACACGCCCTTGTAGGCTCTATAGATAGATATAGATATACAGACTGCTAGGGAAAAAGAGTATAAATCAAAAAATGACATATTGCAGGAGAGAACTTTTTATTGATTTTCTTGAAACAAACCATAGGCTTTTTGGCCCTTTGGTAACAACCACGTTTTGATGTCATGATTATTTGGATGAGCTTTATATTGAAGGTATGAAAAAATCGAACTTCCTTCCAGGAATCAGACTGTGAACTTCATTCATTTTGACCATTCATTGACTTGTACTAATTTTCCCTGTCAGCCTAGGTTTATATGTTTAAATGTGTGTGTATGTGTGTGTCTATATATATATTGTGTGTGTGTATACACAGACATACATACGTATATTATTGATACCATATTATATAATTTGTTTGTTGATTTCAAGGTTCAGGCGTTAATACCTGTTTTTTGCTGCACCACATGAATACAAATTCAAAATTGATATCTTATCTTTTACAATAGCATTCATTGACAAAATATTCATCACAGCTGTCACACTAAAGGGTGCTGTTGGTACTTTTCCTATACATATTCATCCTCTTACATACTGTATTCATATGGTAGAGCATTTAATGATTTGGAAGATAATTTGTCATAGCAGTTTTCTTGCCATCTTGGTTGTATTGGTATTTAATACATCTACAATGAATGTCTTAAGTAATATTATATATTTTAGAAGGCTCGGACATAAATTTGTTTATTTCTGGGAATGAAGAATTGAATTGATACCTTATTTTTCCTGGGGAGACTCAGACCATCAGGCCCTCTCTTCCGTCTGACCACACACATTTCAGTATGCTCCTTTCATCTACTAGCGGAGAAAGAAGGTATTTCTTGGGTGACGAAAAAGGGCAATTTGAATTTAGCTCAGAGGCTTCATTTAGGCTTGAGGATCTTTTACACACTTAAATCTACTAACATGGGATAGCTGACTTTACTTCTCCTCTGTAGGAAGGCGTACAAAGGATTTTTGCGGCCTAAATCAGGTTTGAATCCGATACGTTGTTGCCACCGTCGACGCTAAAGAGTCTTGAGATTGTCAGAATCTAATGATGTGGAATTGGTAGACAGCTATTCATATGCTGGTCTTTCATTACCCTGCAATTCTTTTATGCTGGGAAGAAATGCCTTTCTTAGAGTCCAAAATCATCCCTGTGCAAAACTGAAGTGCAAAATATTCTGAAATTTTCTTCTAGAACATCTCGTCAGTATAACAGGAAGCATTTACTAATTTCACTTTTGAAAAAATATTACTAAAATTGTTGTTAGGCAAATTATTTCTAATGGAGTGCAAAAATGATGGTATGTCCCTGCTTGTGAACATGTCTTTAGCCAGAGGAATTATCCTTTTTACATATCTGCAATGGAAGAAAATATTCAGATTCTTTTGAGGTTCGATTATGTGTGTTTTCACGTAGGAAATTGAGATTAATATCACATAAATAAATAAATTGTTAAATTTTTGTGAAGGTCAAATCTAGTGAAGTTGCCACTGAAATACTGGAAAGCCATGAACTAGAGCATTCTTTTATCTCTACATACCACCCAGAAGGGCCAGTCCTTGAAAGCACCATTTGTGAAAACTTTGTCACCACTTCAAGTTCCTATGATTATTGAGATCCAATAAGTGTTCGATTTTAATAGTCATGAAGCCATGAAGGAGTAGATTCAAATTACTAGTAGCCATATCTGCATTTGCTTAACGATTTCTTATTCTGGAATAATATAATCTCTTTTTCTTTTTTTCCAGTGGATAGTTTCAGGATCAGAAGACAATATGGTGTACATATGGAATTTGCAGACAAAAGAAATAGTTCAGAAACTTCAAGGACACACAGGTGTGTGATTTATATAAATTATCTTTTGTGTATTGCTCTTAAAGCTGGTGTAAATTTAATGTTAAATAAATTTAGGAAATGTCACAAACTTTTTGATACTTTTGGGTTGAAATATTGAAAGTTGAAAGTTTTTTAGCAACAGCATATGTGTTTGAACATTTTCTATACTTGCGTTTCTTTCCACAAAGACTGAGATGGCCACATACTTTTTTGAAGAACTAGTTCAACATTTGCTGTGTTTCTCTGATAGCACATTACTGTTAACTATATCAACAGCTATTAAAATAAGATTTGTGGTGTGTTTAAGGCCCAAAAGTGTTTATGCATAGCAACCATATAGAATGTTTTTGTAAACATCCAATAAACATTAAAAGGTGAATGGTTCATCAACACAGCAATTGACAGCACTACCGATCGTCTGTGCTGTCGCAGTTTTAAATTTGCATGTCTTCTGTGCTTGTGTGCATGTGCAGAAGATCAAAATTTCAGTCAATCACTTTCGCCATGCCATACAAAATCTCCCTAATAAAAGTCCTGAATGATGTAGCAATAAGTCCTTACGTATCAATGATAGAGAAGGAAAAGTATGTCAGAGATCTGTCATTTCATTGCCCCATGTGACTGTTGATAGTATAGCCAATAAAACCCTTTTAACACACAATTGCTTCAAAAGAACACAATTATACCCAAATCCTATTTTAAGGTTCTAATACACTGAATTATCTCTGAAAACCAGGGATAATGGCAATGGTTATAGGACTTCAAATATTAACATTTAGACCAGATCAATAAGGTGTAGGTCAGCCAAAAGAAAGTTTTTGTACATATTTTATTATAGGAAGGACATGGTTACATTTAGAAGGAGGTGTACAAAATGTTTTATGCACCTTAGCTGAAATTAGATGTTTTGAAATATCCATTGCCAATCAACCAATCTCAACTCCCCCTGGCATGCCTCAGTAAACCCCTTGTCCAAAAACTTTCACATTTCAGCCTTGATACACAAATACCTAGTTTTTAATGCACAAATTCTTGCCAAAATAAGAATTAATCTCTTATAAAACCTTCCTTAGTTGCAAACATTTTTTAAGGCTGTGGCATTACTAAGAAGTCATAAACATTGACAGTAATAGGAGGAGGATTCTTAGATTACTAAATGTCCTGCTGTAACCAGGACTACCTCGATATGATGATGTGGTCTGTCCTGACCAATTCATTATTGTCCCAAAAAAGTGAATTATTCGTGGTCATACAAATAGTAAATAACTTTCTTGCATATATTGTGTAGTTTACATCGTGGAGATCTTTGAAAATTAATGAAATGACTGAAAAGTGTTTTCTGTCTTGAGAACAACACTGGCGCCTCAACTATACATAAAGTTGTCACGAGAATGAATTTTCTCTGATTGTTAATGCTTCAGACCCATCATATTTAGATTTATATTATTTCTACAGGTAGGATTATACAACCTGGTTGCAGTAATTTTTTAAATTTACAGATCTGATTTGATACTGATCTTTTCATTTTGGGAGTTACTTCATATCAAAATTTTCTCAATCATGGCTCCAAAAATTTTTTTAATGGGTTAGCTGAAACAATTACATAAAAATAGCATAGGTTTGATTTTTTAATTAATACTTGATTATTTCATGACTACAAAAGTTTAAAAATATGGAATCTAGATATCTTAATTTTGTCTAAGGGAAGATTTGATGATGGTTTTACCTATTTATAAAATGAGGGTGGGTTTCAAGGACATTATAATGGAATTTTTTAATTAGCAAGTTATGTGCATGAGTAAACTCTTTCAATTTAACTAACTATAGAACATTTTTGAAACAAGACTTCATCAGATAAACAAAAAAAAATGGTTAGTTGTGATTAACTTCTTGTATGTAAACACATCTTTGGATCAGGACACCATTTTGCCTCTTGGCCCTTTGGGTGCCCTGCCCTTTCCTGGCACTTCAGTAGGCTTCTGTTCCAGGTTCCCAGGATAGTAGCCTGTCCCTTTCCTGTGTATATTGATACCTTTGGCGTTGGGGCAGGATCCTCCTTCTTCTCAACTATTAGAGACAACCCCTCTGTTTTTCTTTTCTAGTTGCAGGTGGTGTCGAGGTATCCCTTAGCTTTATCTCAAATACAGTAGATGCAATCTTTTAAGCACTGAGAGACATATCAGCCAGATGGATTGGAGAATGTCCATGTTGGTGAAGATCCAAGTATAATTTAGACACTAGTGATTTTCACAGATGGAGGAAAAACAAGATCTCATATGGGCATGAGGGGCCCCCAAAACAAATAGTTTTGTCAAAATCTTGTCACAGATTTATTGTTGCATTACACAACTTTCTTTATTTTACATAAACACAACATTTACAAGAATGTTAAAAAAATCTATTGAATTGATAAGAACCAGTCTGGTTCCTTTTTTTGTTTTTTTGGACCTACCAATACCCCTGTGTTATAACACTTCAAAAAAAATGTATTTAAATCATTACCTCCATAATCAAGAGTTTTCAAATTCTTTGAATTAATTTCTGTAGTTGGGAAAATGTATGGCGATGGGGTCTTGATAACCAGGAAAAGTTAGGGGAATGTGTTTTCCAAATATTCTTTGTCTAACCTGAGAGTTTAATAGTCATTTCACTACATGAAATATGTTTATTTCCAAAAATACTTAATATTGATATTACATTCAGTCTTGTTAATAAGTACTGTGTAATTATTCCTAGCCGTAGTCGTAACTAAATTTGAAAAAATATATATTCAGTTGATATTGGCCAGGGATAATTTATGTAGCAATCAAGAGTAGCAATCTTATCAAGTAGCAATCAAGAGTATTAGCTACTTTTATTGGCTTTATAACATAATGAACAATGTGCAGATAATGTATCCACTAGTATGATACATTGTCGTTGAGAATACATTAGCAATTGTCTTGTAACTCTCTTTTCCACATATGTTTAGGGTTTAAGACAGTGCGAAGTGTTCGTAAAATTACATAAGTGATCATTCATTTCAAATAAGGCAACTATAATAACAATGCTTTAACCCTCGCATGCACAAGGTCTGAGACTCCACCCTCTTATATTTTTGCGTCTCATTGTCAGTTATCAGGTGGTACTGAATTGCGACTTCCTGAATCTTCCTCAGCCATCGATAGGTGTCGGAAAAACCTTTCTCAGTCGTTGGAGCTGTTGCCCACTGGAGAACATTCAGCAATGCAGAGCGTCAGTCCACACATGTGTGCTCGTGTTATAAATTCTACTCTCACATTTCTTGTGTGTGTTACTATTGAAACATTTATTACATATATTTACGATTTGAACTAAATGTTTGTTTCTTTAATAGTTCATCATTGTTACAAAAATTGTATAAAATCTCAAAAAATTTTTGTATCAACAACTCCAATATTGTGGCAGATTTATGGTTCAATTAGTTATAAATACAGAGTTATTCAATAAAATCTCAGACTCTAATAGTTTCTAATCCAAACGGTTCAAGATATTGTATGAAGTTTTCACCAAACAATTTAGGTCATATAGCTTGTCATTATTTACTTTCTGGAAAATTTTTAATTTTGAATGTTTTGGACAAAATTATTTTTTCTTAAAGTAACACTGTACTGATTATTATTATTATTATTATTATTATTATTATTATTATCATTTGTATCATATGTTGTTCTCCATTTCCTAATGGTTTATTCAATATCAGATTGGTAGCAGAGAAATGTGCTATCACAAATCAGCAAAAATTGCATTAAATATATTAATCTAATGAAAATACATAAATGAATCACAACAAATTATTGATATTATTGCAAACACAAAATCTATTTGATATTCACCAAAAATACTATAAAAACAGCTTTTAAATTTGGCAGAATATAGTGGTTTAAGTTTGCGGACTCTCCGTCTGCACACGTGTACTCTTGTCACAAACAGAGCATGTGTAAAGGAGGGTTAACAAGTGTCTTGTGGTTCAGTTAATAGGATACGGGGGAGGATGGGCTGGTGAAAGGAAGATCTCTAGCAGTAGATTAATTATAATTAAACTACAGTAGCAAAATAATTAGTAAGGGCAAGTTTGTATTAAGGCTAAACATTTGTACCAGCATATTTTAATTAAGTTTCTTACTAATTTTTTCTTCTTCTTTTTTTTTTTTAGATGTTGTTTTGTGTACAACATGTCATCCAACTGAAAACATAATAGCATCTGCAGCCTTGGAAAACGACAAGACTATTAAATTGTGGAAAAGTGATACATAAATGTAATTTGTGTTAGTTGGAATACAGATCGTGAATCATTTCTGATGTTTTATATACTGTACAGTATCTTCAGTCCTAGCTTATGTTCGACTTCTACCATTTGGTTCCTTACGTTCTTACCGTTGGCCTACAAGTGAAGCAAGCATTGTAAATCGTGTGTCTTGAAAAGGAAGTGAATTTATCAGTGTGTTGTTATTTTAAGCATTTCTGTAGAACCTTACACAAGTAATGGAATCTTTCATTTGTTTAAAATATGTGTATATTATGTGCAAATTTAAGCTTATCAGAAAAAGTATTTTTAAAACTAAATTGTTGTATGTAAGCATATAGACTTTTTTATATAAATAAAATTGGAACTGCCAATTCTTACAGTGAAGCAAATAGTACTGTTCTTTTGTTTTGGTTTCGCAATTCCAAAAGTCCATAAACTTTTCTACTACCAGTGTCTTACATATTTTTATTATTGGCTGTATTTTTAGATGTTGGGAACTAGTTGGAAAAAATATGTTATGTTTTTGTCCTTAAGAATGTCCTCGAGTGTTCCTATTTTATTTTTAATAAATAATTAATTTAAAGCTGGAGATTTCCAGGTATTGTGCCAAGTATCATATAGGTAGTTTTACTTAAATTGTTTTAAATTTTCATGCAACCGCAACCAAGATACTTGGACAACTAAATGCCTCCATCTACTAGCCTATATGATTTCAATATGTTTCGCTTTTGTGATATCTTCCAGATTTATGTACATTATACTTTATTCAACACATATTTTCTACCATTTTGGCCATTGTATCAGTTAGCTTATTATTAAAGATGAGCCTCAATATTCTAGAGAATTTGTTCTGAAATTAATAATCATTATTTTTCTGGATGACTGGTACTTGTGTGATATAGACTCCAACTAGTTTAGGTGAAACACTTGTCTTACAATTCCTGATGAGGTACATTTCGCAAGTGTTGCCTATCTTGCGTTCTCGCCAGAGGAGGCCATTTTGAATATTTTCAGAATCCCTGTTGCATGAGGTGAAAATGCGAAATTTTGGCTGTATGGAAAATATGATAAACTATCCTAAATAACACTTAAATAATAGTTTTTCTCTCGCCTTTCCTATTAGATTGGTAAACAATAATGGGAACGGAATAAGAATTAATGTAATATCTGGGCTACCTTTTTTTTTTGCAAAATATAATCAACGACAACCTTTTTTCAAAATTATGTATAGAGTTTACACTATTTCCTTTTGCAGTCATGGATAACTTGGTGTACTCAACACCGTATAAGCAACTAGGACTGAGTCTATGTATTTTTTTAGACCTCCCCTCCCCCTCAAAAAAAAATTCCATTGTGTTAAATTAACTTATAAAAAAGAATTTCGTCTTTAATAGGCCAATATTAACCCGAGCCAACTGTAGCATGATAATTGAATGTTTGGGATGATTGGTTTTGTTTGTTTCTTGCAATATGGTTACAGTGAACTATGTTCTTGAACTACACAAATTAAGTGGCGGCTCGTGCTCAGGTTGCACGGTCGCACATCCCCCAGATGATCGAATAAGATCTCAAAATATCTTAAAAATATACGCTCCCCTTTTAATGACGTTCAATATTCAATATATTGCAATATCGATGTATATGAAATCAATTTGAAACCAAAGAGCGTCCACTGCAGCTTTCTCCGGTGCCTTGCCGGGTATTGCACCGTGCTCTTGGCCCTTTCATATAACACGGCAAATATAGGGCTTTTTGGTTGGGCAACCAGGCGCTGTCTGTCGCTGCGCGGTGATCGAGGGAGTCTCCGGGAAATCCCAATATTCTGTCTGTCGGACTCACTGCAATTTTATTGATTGAGCGCTAATTTTATGAATTTCGTTCGTTATTGAAAGAACACAAGTTCAGTCAATTATTGACGGCATTTAATGCATTATTTGTGATAAGAGAATTTTGTTTTCATTCGATATTGGATTGAATTTGATTTGGAAACTACGCAGTGCTAGAAATTGTAACTAGTTAATTACTATTAATAAATTACCACAAAAACCAAATTTTTACCGCTCTTCACCCCACCCCGCAAGGGATGACGGTCACGCCTACCATAGCAGATTCAAAAGAAACTAGTCCTAGAATTTTTACTTTCTCACACTATTGTAAGAAGAGAAAGTATTGTAATAATGCGCCGGAAAACTGCGAATTTTCGACAAACTTATTGCTGGGTAATGGTAACATAAAAGTATATAAATCCGGTGGCAAAATATAGAAAAAAATCCTCTAACATGTGGTGTAGCCAGAATCCATATTTTGCGCGTCCTTCAAACTGAAAATCAATTGACGGCAAAACGTCTGTGTGTCTGTCCGTCTGTTCACATTTTAAAATAAATGATGAAGTTGAATATTTTAATACCTAAATCTTTAATATAAACAGCTAAGGGCTTCATCATCAATCGAATAAGGCGTCAAAGTTCTCTTGACTTATTGAGGAAATGCTGACACGGTCCTTTATTTTGCGTCTAGAAAGTAAATTTAGATTTCTTCCCCCAAAGCCACGTTCAGTTTTAACGATTGATTTTCGCATTAAATAAATGCACCTTAAGATTGATTTTCAGCGTGATCCAAGGTTATGGGGTTATTTTTTTCTATTTCACTGTCGTGGTTTCAACATGCGATGAACGAAAGGAAAATAGGAATGATCAAGGTTTATTAAGTGATGTTATTAAAAACTGTTAGGATTAAACATTGTATTACAAATTCTCAACGAAAATGTTTTAACAATCCCCATTTTTTCTAAAGTTCATTACATTTTTGTAGATTTGTGAAGCCCATTTTCGTCCAGAGGATATCCAACGAAGTATTGAGTGCTATGATAAAAACGCAAAGACTCTCCAAGAATCACTAGGGAAAAACGAAATTAAAAGATAGTGCAGTGCAATCAATTTTCAAATTTTCGAAATGTTTATCTTCAGGAGCAACATCAAGAGAGAGAGAGAGAGAGTAGAAGAAACACGAGAGAGATTTAAGTGTATAAATTTGCAACGTATAATTCATGACGGTTTGCATTCGCTTGAAAGCGAATGCAAGAACAAATTGTCTCGAAAATTTTCAGACTGTGATCAAACAAGTCAGTGTGTTTTATTGTGACAGTTCATTTTGTTGGAGAGAGTTGCCAATTTGGTAAATGCGGGGCAATTCTAATGAAAACCGTAAAAGTATAATAAAAAATCCAAATGTGGCGCTAGTGACCTGTAAGTTGATAGGCATGTTGGCAATAGTGTGCCAGGTGCCCCCTAGTTGCCATCATTGTGAAGAAACACAAACTTGGGCACAGGAACAGTGTAAAAATGGCTGCCGCACTAGCAACGTGCGCCAGAGAGGAACAGCGTTCTGTGGTTCAGTTTTGCGAAGTGAAGGTGAGATACATATTGACATTCGTCGACAAATGAAGGTTCAGTTTGATGACACCTGCTTGTCACAGCAAGTGTACGAATGGTGTCGAATGTTCGCAAATGGTGTGAATTTCGTGGCTGACGCTCTGCGCCCAGGCCAGGCACATCGCGTTGTGATTCCAGAGACTATTGCAGCCGTTGAAGCAATCGTGATGGACAACCGCAGAGTGACATTAGAGAACATTGTAAAAGCTGCACACAATAGTCATGGTTCAGCACGTCACATTGTGCATGATGTGCTCCAATTTCAAAAGGTGTTTATAGATTATTATATTAAATTATAGAAATTAATGATAAATGTCTCAACAAAACGTGAACAAGAATGAGTAAAAAAGACAGAAAACGAATTAAATGTAATTAAAATTTTTTAAGAGGTTTTGGAAACTGAAAACTCATTCATGTGTGTTCTACATTGCAGATTATAATTGAAGTAATTGATTGATTATTGAATATCAGGATATGTCTAAAATAAGTTTCTTTTCATTTATTGCTAAGGAAAAAGCAATTGTATTTTATGTAACCATTTCATTACATTATAAACATATGTCACACAATAAAAAGTTCCAAGCCTAATAGAATTTTTAGAGACATCTCTGCCATCAATTTCTTACAATTATTATGTAATTTAAAACAGATTTTAAAGTAGGCTACTCCAAGAACGCGAAAAATGGATATACTTGTAAAGAAGAATAACACACGTTAGTAAAATCATATGCCGTAATAAACTTGTTTTTTCGCCATTTGTACCATACGAATTTGGTGGTTATGTTCTATCAGCGAAAGAAAATCTGAAAATTTGCTGTGATATACAACGTTCTTCGTCCCGTCCCCAGCGGCTCCTACTCGAGCGTCACAATTTGAGGTGCAATGCTTCCATCTCTAGACTGCCTTGAATCCATAAACAGGTTTGTTTCTTAAGGATACTGGACAGATTCACCTAAAGAGAAGTTTTGTTTCTTGCACGTGTCTCAGCTCACCCTTCCCCACCCCACCCGCTGTGCTGCGCGAAAAGCTTCCGGCATGTGAGCCGCGTTCCCGCCCTCCTACGCTCTTGAATGGAGAAAACACAGAAACAGGAAAATCTGTTAGTTCGGGGACTATTTCAGTTCATTTGTTCAATTAAAACAATTATTTATATTTTTGGTGTTTTTGACCTCGCCCGTGCTGAGTGGAATCTTTTAGAAATCTCCAACAAGCCATGGGTCCAAAGACAGCCATGCGATATGAATCGTTATGAAAAAATGCGCGCGCAGTGAAGAGTTAAGATCTATAATTTTTATCTCTACCCTGCATTATGCATACTTTTAAATTCAAATACAAGCGATCAATTTTTGTATTTTTTTTTAAATTTAAATATTCGCCTTGTTCACGAAAGCGAATTTTGGCTGCTTTATGCATAACATTGACATGAATAATGCATGATGAAATTAAATGAATGATGTAATTATAGCAACGTAAAATGGATAAAAAATTAGCCCAAATTTGGAATGGAACCAACCCCTCCATCTTTTCGGGAACAACACTTTAACACTGAGCCATCCATTCACTACCCTCTCTTCTTATAGCAACACATTTATATCACCAAAACATGAGAGCAACATTACATATACAATTGGTAGTGCTACAGAATGACACAGACTGTCCCGTATTAGTTTTCTATTTTCTCTGGTGGATATTCGGACTTGCCTCACTCTTGACAGCTGCCATCTATAGTCTCTTAAAGTACATTTATTTGAAATTTTCCTAATTTTTTGGTTTCCTAATAATAGAACGGAAATGTTATTTTAAGAACATTAAAGAACAGTAAAACTTCCCTCTACATGGCAAATTTCTCTGAAAATTTGGAGCCGTTTGTAAGAAAACAGCGTGTAAACGCGACTGTTAATTCGCAATTTGAATTCACAGAAACGTTTTGAGTTTTCAAAACTCTTAACATTAAAAGTCATATGAAGCATTTTAACTCACAAATGCAATAGTGTTTACAAATTGCTGGAAATGTGGATATTAATGGAGTGAGAAACCTTTAAAAAATTACATTGTGTAATTTTTAAAAAGAAAATACGCCGAAATGAACTTAACGTCATATTAAAGTATGCAATTAGCACTATCAGTTCAAAAAATTTTCAAAATATTTGGTGTCATTTTTGAGAAAATTGCATTTTTAACGTATCTGATAATGCGGAATTTTGAGGTAGTTTTCTCATTTTAAAAATGTATTTTGGCTGTAGATGACAGCTGTTAAGAGGATGGGGCAAGTCAGTATAGCCAGCCCAGACCAAAGAAAATAGATAAGTAATACGAGAAAGTCTGTGCCATTCTGTAACACCACCGTTTTTTACTTGCCTCTCACGTCGTTAACACTTACATTAACGGAAATTTGTAAACATTAGTGCATTTGTGAG